TCTGTCCAGAGCACCAGAGCTGCTCTGTCCCACGCAGGGCTCCTGCTGGATCTGGTGTCACTGCCCTGCCCTGTGCCCCTCTCTCCCCGTGCCACAGCCCCCCAGAGCTCCTGCTCCAGGGGCTGGGGGCCTGGGGTGTCCCTGCCCACGCACAGGGGGGGTGGGATGGGATTTCAGGTCCCTTCCAGCACAAACCATCCTGGCCTTCTGTGCCGGAGCTCCTGCTCGGTGCCAGGCCAGGTGGCATTGCAGCTGCCCTGTGCAGGATCCCAGGACTCAGATCCCTGCAGGCTGCTGGCTCCGGGGGCTCAGGAGCAGGGCAGGCTGCACTCAGGGGCTGTTCCCCTCTTCCAGGTCATTCAGAAACCTTCAACTTGAGTTTTCTGCAGTAACTTCTGGGTTAACTTCAGGATTTCATGCTTGAGTTATGAGTCCCAGTCTCTCTAGGATGCCTGTCTGCACCTCCTGTGCTTGAAAACAAGGCATTTATTTGGATTTTTTGTTGATCTAAGTGATCTAAATTACTTCCTATGTGGAGCAGCTGCTGGACTGCAGTAAGGGATGTCACAGCACGTTGTAAATCAGCTTTCCAAAATCCTTGCAAGATTTTCAGTTACCTTTTTTTGAGTTGCTAGGGATTTTTGTGGTCTGTTAATTCTAGCTGCCAGGCCAGTCAGTCACCAGAGTTGCAGGATTTTGTGGTCCTTTCTGGACACCTTGGCTTGAACAAAATCCTCCTCTCCCCGGAAGAGGCAAAAACCATGACAGGAGAGAGGTTTAATCTGCACTTGGTGTAAATAACTTCTGCCTCCTTTTGACACCATCCTTGTTCCTGTTGCTTCTCAAAGTCACAGGTGGTGCTCCCTGCTGGATGATTTAGGTGCCAGATTATTTTGCTGAGTGTTTGGACACGAAAGTGCAGAGTAGCTCTCCAGGGGCATTGAGGAATGGGACCCCAAATCGAATTCCTTCAGGGGGAAGGGTTTGTTACTGTGCCCAGGGCTGACCCAGGCTCTGTAGGAGGAGCAGCCCGAGCCGTCCAGCTGGGCTCAGCCCCGTGTGCCCACAGGGGCCAGCTCTGCTCCTGGAGCCTTCCCTGACCCTTCCTCTCCCTTCTGTGTCTAAGGAGATGCCCAGGAGCCCCCGACTCAGTGAGCTGGCCTGCTAAACTTGCTGTTCCCTTTTTGTGCAGACTCTAACCCCAGTATTGCAGAAGCACTTGCAAACCCTCCTGCAGAGCTTCCTGCAGAGCCGGCGGGCAGAGAGCTGCACAACCACCTGCTGCTGGACATGGACACCGACACGGAGAGCACCGCGCTGTGAGCGGCGCCCCGCTCCTCTCGGGGGAACCCCAGACCTGGCAGGGAAAGCTTCTTCTGGCAGCTGGCACGGCTGGCACAGCTGGGCACAGCTGGGCACAGCTGGGCCGGAGCCTCCTGGGGACTCTGAGCTCCAGGGGGGCCCAGGTTGGAGAAGACCCCCGAGGAAATCGAGCCCAACCTTTGGCCACGCTCCGGTTTGGCCCTCAGAAGAAGTTTAATGATCTGGGTCTGGACAACGGTTTTCAAGCTCTTGGATGGAAGGAATGAATTCCTGCCGGAACTTGCCTAGGAAGCGTGGTCAGTGCTGGTACAGGTGGTGTTAGCAGAAATTCCAAAAGAGTAAGGAGCAGAACGTTAGTTATTTAAAGTGCATGTCTGTATTTTGGAAATAATCCTTCTCACGGCACGGTTAGAGGTTCTTTGTAGTTCTTAGCCCGTACCAGGAGCTGCCTCCCAGGGACATTCCCTCTCAGATTTGCTGCAGATTCCCCTCAAGCCATGAACCAAACCCCTGCCCCAGTGCTGGTGGTGACTGCTGGTTCTCAGTCACCCTGTGAACTGTGGATGCATCCAGTGCCTTGAAGGACTGTCGTGCTGTAGGAGGAACTTCTGTCTCTTTAATCATTTCATTGCTACTTAGGATCAGTACTTACCCTGATTTCATAGTTATTTGTATTAACCTGCTTTGTTCATGTGCAACTGTTTCACGAGGAAACCGTGCAAATGGGGTTTGTGCTTTTGTTGAAAACGGTTGAATTTTGAAAGAACTTTGAAACAGCTGTTTGGATTCAGAAGTTGAGTGAACATTTATAAAATTAAAGATTGTTTTTTCTCAACTTAAGGCATCTTTATTCTAGTTTTGTTGCTTCCACTTGGTCCTGAAGGTCACAGTGATCCCCTGGACTGCGTAGCTTGGAGTCACTGGCTGCTCAGCTTGGTTTTCCCTTAAGGACCTCAGTGGGAGCACTGTGAGACCTTCCTCTGTCACCACCCCAACCCTGTAACCAATCTTTGTAACTCTAAATTCAGTTTGAAGAGCCACAGACTCCAGTCCTGTGAGTGATGTTGATGTTAGTGCCTCTCCCCCAGGCTTTCCTGCAGTGTTTCACAGGCTCAGGAAGGATCCCCAAGTGCCAATTCCCTTTATGTGGTTTAACAAGAGGATCTCCTGACTCTGTGCACTGCTGCAGGTTTCCAGCTGCTCCTGCCTGCTGTCACTGCCTGCACATGCAGCGCTGGGGGTGAGCTTTGCTCCCACCCTGCAGTGTTTAATGAATTCTGGGTGCCCCAGCAGCCTGGGGAGGGGAGCAGGCTCTGCAGGGAGCCAGGGCAGGTGGGGGGCTCCAGGAGGAGCCTCCTCCAACCTGGCCGTGGGGCCCAGAGGTCTTGGTAGCCCCCCAACCCCACAGACTCCAGGCAGACAGGGACCAGCTCTCACTCTTTAATATTTCTCTGCAGCTGCACGGGGCCCAGGGCCAGCGATGGTCCCAGCCTGGGGTCAGGGATGTTCCCAGCTCTGGGTCAGGGATGGTCCCAGCCCAGGATCAGGGATGGTCCCAGCCCAGGATCAGGGATGGTCCCAGCTCAGGATCAGTGATGGTCCCAGCCCGGGGTCAGGGATGGTCCCAGCTCAGGATCAGGGATGGTCCCAGCCCGGGATCAGGGATGGTCCCAGCTCGGGATCAGGGATGGTCCCAGCTCGTGGTCAGGGATGGTCCCAGCCCAGGATCAGGGATGGTCCCAGCCTGGGGTCAGGGATGTTCCCAGCTCTGGGTCAGGGATGGTCCCAGCTCAGGATCAGTGATGGTCCCAGCCCAGGATCAGGGATGGTCCCAGCTCTGGGTCAGGGATGGTCCCAGCTCAGGATCAGCAATGGTCCCAGCCTGATGGTCCCAGCCCGGGGTTCTCTGCCGAGGCACTCCCAGAAGGGCTGTGGGTGCCCAGGCCATGAGGGGCTGCCTCTGGGCACCTCTGCCCTGGCACAGCTGGAGGGTTTGGCTGGTTCAGGTCCTTCAGGTGCCCCACAGCAGCTGTGGGGCAGTTTCCACGCTGGGTGCTGGCGTTGCCATTGCAGTGTCTGGTCCCAGGCAGGCCCAGCAGCACTCACTGCACACGGGGAAGGAGCTGAACAGGCACAGAGGCACAGCAGAGCCCAGACAACAGCTCTGGCTCTGCTCTGGGCACTCGAGGTGTCACTCTTGTCCCTCAGGGCCAGAGGAGCTGAAGCAGAGGGAACCCAAGTGGCCGTAGCTGGCTATAGAGGCATAAACAGGAAGAGAGTCCAGGCTTCCTGAATTCCAGGCAGTGCTCTAAGGCCAAAGAGCAAAATTAAATACTTAAAATAACCAAACCAACCTTCCTCAGCTGGTTGGTGCCAGGTGGGATCTGACGGTGCCAGTGCCAAGCGCTCGGCCCCGGGCACAGCCAGGCCCCCATTAGAAATAAGGAAAATATTACGTCTTTAAAACGTCTTAAATAAAGAAATAACATTTAGAAAGCATTAGGGATGAGGTGAGCCCTCTGCTAACGATTAATATTTACACCAGTTAGGGTTAGGTGGTGCAGTGCGGCCTGGCAGCCCCTGGCTATGCGAAGTAGGCCCAGAGGAAGAGCCCGGCGCACACGCACAGGAGCAGGTTGGCGTCGAGGACGCGTTTGGGCAGCGGCTCCTCCTCCAGGGACCCCGCGGGCTCGGCTCTGGGCAGGCCCTCGGGCCCCTCCTGCCTGCGCTCCATCCCGCAGAGCCACAGCACGGTGCTCAGCAGCTTCCAGCTCCCCCCGGCACCTGGGGGCAGAGACGGGGCTGAGCCCGGCCAGGGCGGCCTCGTGCCCTGTGCAGGGCTTGCTGCAGAAATGCACCCGGGAACACGCTGCCCTGTGCAGGGCTTGCTGCAGAAATGCACCCGGGAACACGCTGCCCTGTGCAGGGCTTGCGGCAGAAATGCACCCGGGAACACGCTGCCCTGTGCAGGGCTTGCTGCAGAAACACCTGTGAACACCCTGCACCATGCAGGGTTTGCTGCAGAAACACCCATGGGCTGCAATGAACACCCTGCACTGTGCAGGATTTGCTGCAGAAATGCACCCGGGAACACCCTACACCGTGCAGGGTTTGCTGCAGAAACACCTGTGAACACGCTGGCCTGTGCAGGGTTTGCTGCAGAAACACCCATGGGCTGCAGTGAACACCCTGCACCATGCAGGGTTTGCTGCAGAAACACCCATGGGCTGCAGTGAACACCTTGCTGTGTGCAGGAGTTTGCTGCAGAAACACACCTGTGAACACCCTGCACTGTGCAGGATTTGCTGCAGAAATGCACCTATGAACACCCTGCTCTGTGCAGGGTTTGCTGCAGAAATGCACCCGTGAACACCCTGCACTGCACAGCAGTTTGCTGCAGAAACACCCATGGGCTGCAATGAACACCCTGCACCATGCAGAGTTTGCTGCAGAAATGCACCATGGGCTGCAATGAACACCCTGCACCATGCAGAGTTTGCTGCAGAAACACCCATGGGCTGCAATGAACACCCTGCACCATGCAGAGTTTGCTGCAGAAATGCACCATGGGCTGGCACTCCACCAGTATCTGCACCAGCTCCATCCTCCCTGCACCTCTGAGCTCAGGTTCTGCTCTCCCAGCAGCCACGGTAACAAAAAACCAAAAAACCCTAAAAACCTAAAAACCCTAAAAGCCTAAAACGCGAGCTGTGGCTGCTTGGTGCCCCTCATGAAGTGCTGCTCCTGGCCATGCTGCCACATCTCTAAGCTGGGCCTTCCCAGCGCCTTGGGACACACACACGAGATGCTGGGAAGGCAACGCTGGTGTCCAACACCTGTGAGACTTCCCAGCAGCAGGAGAGCTGCCTGATAACTCATTAACTCCCAACAAACCCCACATCAAAGGGACACGCAGCAAAAGCTGGCACCTTACATAAACAGGGGCCTGAGCCTGGCAAAAACAAGGGATGCCAGTCATGGCACGGGCAGCTCTGCGCGTGGCCGTGCCCAGTACCAACGAGCACAAGCCTGAAAAAATGCAAGTTCTCCTTCACTGATGTGCCAAGAGCTCGGCCCAGGGCTCTGGTTCTCCCTGCTGCTAGAGCTGAGCAGAGAGCACCGCTGGAAAACAGAAAGGGAATTTCATCAACATTGCTGTGTTTGCCTGCACCCTCCCTTTTCCAGCCAGCTCTGGCAGAGGTGCCACGGCCCAGCCACGGGACAGTGGCCATGGCTCTCTATCCCATCCACCTTAGTTTCAAGGTTTTGTAACACCATCGAGAGCTGCAAAACTGAACTCCTGCTTAGGTAAAATGTCAGGTAAAGCCTTTTTGCCCCTGGCCAAGAGGAGATGGAGGTCAGACCTCACTGAGCCCTGCAGCTCCTCCGAGGGCAGCTCCCATCTCTGCCCTGGGACAGGGACAGCACCCAGGGCACGGCTGGAGCTGGCCAGGGAGGACCAGGCTGGATTTTGGGAAAGGTTCTTCCCCAGAGGGTGCTGGCACTGCCCAGGCTCCCCAGGGGATGGGCACAGAGGCTGCCAGAGCTGCAGGGATGCCCAGGGTGGGGTTGTTGGGATGCAGGGCCAGGGGCTGGGCTGGATGATCCATGGGGGTCCCTCCCTGCTCAGCAGATTTCTCTGTTCTTGGTGATCTTTTCCACACTCCCTGAAGCTCCAGAACTCCCCAGGAGGGACTTTGGGGCTCACTGTCCAGCAGGGAGGGGCTGAGGAGCGGAGGTCCCCAGCTATGACCTTTGGGGGGTCCCCACCCTGACCTTTGGGGTCCCCACACTGACCTTTGGGGGGAATCCCCACCCTGACCTTTGGGGGGTCCCCACCCTGACCTTTGGGGGATCCCCACACTGACCTTTGGGGGGTCCCCACCCTGACCTTTGGGGTCCCCACCCTGACCTTTGGGGGGTCCCCACCCTGACCTTTGGGGGGTCCCCACCCTGACCTTTGGGGGATCCCCACCCTGACCTTTGGGGGGTCCCCACCCTGACCTTTGGGGGGATCCCCAGCACTGACCTTTGGGCGGGTTCCCCACCACTGACCTTTGGGGTCCCCACACTGACCTTTGGGGGGTCCCCACCCTGACCTTTGGGGGGGTCCCCACACTGACCTGTGCCGCCGTCGGGGCTGCTCTCGGCGCCGGGGCTCAGCTCCAGCTGCAGCGGGGCCGGGCCGGCGCTGCCTGCGGGCTCCTGCCGGGCCGGGGCGTCCCCGCGGGTGAACCAGGTGAGCCGGCTCACCTGCGGCCCCGGGATGCTGTCAGGAACTGCCGGCCCGGCCGCAATCCTCCCTCCTCCCCTGGGGCTCCCCCACCTCCCAAAAATGAGCCTGGAAGGTCTGCACTGAGGGGACAGCTCGTTCCCTGGGCACAGACTGACACAGCAGGTCGGGGAGGGGCAAAATGAGCAGAAGTTGTGGCCAGAGAGGGCTGGCTTGAAATAGGGGTGCTGAGAGAAGAGGCAACAGGTGGGAAATAGGGTTTTTTTCCTTCAAATATCTAAAAGACTCATTATAGAGGGATGTTCTCCATGGCGGTGTGGATAGAGAGGGATGGGCACCACATAAAGCTGGAGAGATTCAGGTTGGAGATGGGGAAAAGCTGCTACGGGGAGGGCATGTGAGCCCTGGGCTGATCACACTCCTCCCTTGTGGGCATTTCTGATTTCAGGGTTAGTCCTGGCCTGAAGCAAGAGGATGTGCTGCTGTGTGAGCCCCGAGGCCGCCTGCCCCTGCTCTGTGCTCCCAGTGCCTTCCTGCTGAGACACCAACTGAAAACAGTCAGACTGGCACAAACCTGCTCTACTGGCTTTCTCTTTTCTGAG